AACCAGGTGCACACTGAGCACATGTGACAGACGTGACAGGGTCTGGATATGCCATGGAGAATGTTCTGCTGCCTTCAACATCCTCCAGCATGACCGGTTTGGCAGTGGGTCAGTAATGGTGTGGGGTGGCATTTCTTTAGGGGGCCGCACAGCCCTCCATGTGCTCGTCAGAGGTAGCCTGACTGCCATTAGATACCGAGATGAGATCCTCAGACCCCTTGTGAGACCATATGCTGGTACAATTGGCCCTGGGTTCCTCCTAATGCACGACAATGCTAGACCTCATGTGGCTGGAGTGTGTCAGCAGTTCCTGCAAGACGAAGGCATTGATGCTATGGACTGGCCCGCCCATTCCCCAGACCTGAATCCAATTGAGCACATCTGGGACATCATGTCTCACTCCATCCACCAACGCCACATTGCACCACAGACTGTCCAGGAGTTGGGGGATGCTTTAGTCCAGGTGTGGGAGGAGATCCCTCAGGAGACCATCCGCCACCTCATCAGGAGCATTCCCAGGTGTTGTAGGGAGGTCATACAGGCACGTGGAGGCCACACACACTACTGAGTCTCATTTTGACTTGTTTTAAGGACATTATATCGAAGTTGGATCAGCCTGCAGTGTTTTTCTCCACTTTAATTTTGAGTGTAACTCCAAATCCAGACCTCCATGGGTTGCTAAATTTGATTTCCATTGATAATTTTTGTGTGATTTTGTTGTCAGCACATTCAACTATGTAATGAACAAAGTATTTAATAAGAATATTTCATTCATTCAGATCTAGGATGTCTTATTTTTGTGTTCCCTTTATTTTTTTGAGCAGTATATAATATATATATATATATATAAATATACACAATATATATATAAATATACACAATACAGAAGCCTGATGGTGGCAGATGAGATTCTGCCAAAACGTTGCTACAACTTTAAAAGCACAACTACAATGATGTGGGAAAATACCCGAACAAAGCTGAATAACATACATGTAAGTACCCGCGAAAACGTTTCGGCAGAATCTCATCTGCCATCATCAGGCTTCTGTATTGTGTTCGTCTGTGAGTCAGACTTTTACAGTTGTTTCAGTTTTAAATTTGGGGCTAGCCTACTGCTGTGCCAGAATGGTTTTTTCTTCATCCTGATTGGTTGGGAGTCTTGGTCTGTGTTTATTGGTCTTGGAGTTTGCTGTGTTCTGCTTGATTGGTGTTTCTAATATCTTCTGTCTGTTTTGTGGCTTTTTTTGTCTTGGTTGGCTGGCAACATTGTGTTCCTGTATTGGAGGCTTTTAGTGCAGCTTGGCTCCGAGTAAATGGACAGCTATCATTTGTTAGGAAGCTAGGTTTCATCTGGGTGCCTGGCTGGGGTGTGTTTGAGCTGGAAGTATCAGGGGGGATCTGTTTGTGCCCAGGTGTTTGCCTGGCTTGTGGTGTGGAGATTTTTTTGTTTGTGAGTGCAGGCTTCCAAATAATTGACAGTCTGGTGGAATCATCTCTTCTATTCATGCTTTCAGGTCTTTTTTCAATCTCTATGGCTTCTCTGATAATTCTGTAGCTGTGGTTTTCTATAGTGGCTAGGGTTTTGGTGCCATTGAAGTTGATGCTATGACCTGTGGCTTTCATGTGTTGGACTAGTGAGGAAGTGTGTTCCAGCTTTTTTACTGCATTTTTGTGTTCATCCAGGCGGGTACTTATTCTTCTATTGGTCTGTCCAATGTATGTGGCCGGGCATGATGCACAGGGGACTTCGTATATGCCTTGGTTTTCCAGGTCAATTTTATCTTTGGGGTTTCTAAGGATGACTGCTATTTTTCTGTCTGTTTTGAAGGCAGTCTTGATGTGATGCCTGTGTAGTATCTTACTGATTTTGTCTGTAGTACCTCTTATGTAGGGCAGGACAGCTGTTCCATAGGTCTGTTCATCTTCTAGGTCTCTATTATGTCTCAGTGTGTTTTTGTGGATCAAGCCAGTTTTTTTGCTTTTGTGGAAGCCATTGGCTGTCAGTACTTTAATCAGGGTGCATAGTTCAGTCTTTATGTGTGTCTTGTCTGCCAGGCATTTGGTTCTGGCGATTAGTGTTTTGGCCACGGAGTTTATCTGTGCTGGGTGGTGGTGGGATTGGGCGTTGAGGTAGCGGTTGGTGTGTGTTTTCTACCGCTACCTCAATGCCCAATCCCACCACCACCCAGCACAGATAAACTCCGTGGCAAAGGTAAAAGAACAACTTCTGTGCCTGCTGGGTGGAGCAGTTTTAAAAAACTTTGTCAAGAGTTCATTGCACTTATGCAATGATGTTTGTTGCAAATACTAAGGTTTCACTGTTAACAATAAACAACTCTGGATATGCAGCATAGACATCATCTCCCAGAACATCTCTGAGGTGGCAAAAAGGTGAAAGGGTAGCTGAACATATAGACTTCTTGCTTTTCAATTGTTTGAAAAGCTGCGTTCCTATACTGTATATAGTAGAGACTCAAGGACATCATGTTTAATTGTGTATGCATTTATTTGTGTTGGCTAAACATACCGTGTTTCTCCAACAATACGGCCTCCACCAATAGGAAGGCCCAGCATGTTTTTTGGGCATAAAATCAAATTAAGCCCCTCCCCCCAAATTTAGGCCTATTTTAAAATATGCAAAATAAGGGGGAAGGGCGGGGAGACTTGCCGTTAGGAGCGCCCGGCGGGCCGGAATTCCTCGCCACCAGCCGCTCCTAACGGGCGATCATGGCCAAGCACAGAGAGCTCCCTACTCCCACCTTTGCTGCAGACACCTTTGGCACCCACCGCTGTTGCTTTCCCTTCTGCCCATTACGCCGCCACGTTTGGAGCTGCCGCTTCCGCGTTTGGAGTGCCGTCGCCATTTGGAGCTCCAAACGCGGAAGTGGCAGCTCCAAACATGATGGCGGGCGATCTTTTTATTTTGGTCCGCGCGAAGTTCAAAGCGAGCAAGAGAGGGAGACTGCGATGCCTCCATCCGAGATGGCAACCTCACTAGTGGATCACAACGTGGCTGGAAGCCCGAATCAGCGGGATATGATGGCGATCTTTTTGGAGCGAGAGGAAAGGGAGAGAAGAGTTGCGAGGCGTAATTTGCAGGAGGAAGTGGGTGTACCCCATGGCAGGGAGCCCAAGGAAGAAGGGCCGGTAGGCAACGGAGAGCGTCCCGTAGCTCCGGAAGCAGCCTAAAGACGCGCCCGGGAAGAGGCGCAGATGCTGCCTTGTAGTCCCCAAGCCAACTGCGTGCGCCGCCTTTAGTTATGTGTGCTCCGCGCTTTGGGCATCTCCGTGTGATCGCGACCCTGTCCTTTCCACCTGGCGCCCTTGCTGCTTTCTGGCTCTTTAACAACCAGCTTTGTGTTTGGAGCACACGGCGGCGGAAGCTCCAAATGCAGAAGCTCCAAACATGACGGTGGGCGATCTTTTTATTTTGGTCCGTGCGAAGTTCAGAGCGAGCATGAGAGGGAGACCGCGATGCCTTGCTAAAGAGCCAGAAAGCAGCAAGGGCGCCAGGTGGAAAGGACAGGGTCGCGATCACAAGGAGATTCCCAAAGCGCGGAGCGCACATAACTAAAGGCGGCGCACGCAGTTGGCTTGGGGACTACAAGGCAGCATCTGCGCCTCTTCCCGGGCGCGTCTCTAGGCTGCTTCCGGAGCTACGGGACGCTCTCCATTGCCTACCAGCCCTTTTTCCTTGGGCTCCCTGCCGTGGGGTACACCCACTTCCTCCTGCAAATTACGCCTCGCAACTCTTCTCTCCCTTTCCTCTCGCTCCAAAAAGATCGCCATTGTATCCCGCCGATTCGGGCTTCCAGCCACGTTGTGATCCACTAGTGAGGTTGCCATCTCGGATGGAGGCATCGCAGTCTCCCTCTCTTGCTCGCTCTGAACTTCGCGCGGACCAAAATAAAAAGATCGCCCGCCGTCATGTTTGGAGCTGCCTCTTCCGCGTTTGGAGCTCCAAATGGCGGCGGCACTCCAAACACGGAAGCGGCAGCTCCAAACGTGGCAGTGGAATGGGCAGAAGGGAAAGCAACAGTGGCGGGTGCCAAAGGTGTCTGCAGCAAAGGTGGGAGTAGGGAGCTCTCTGTGCTTGGCCATGATCGCCCGTTAGGAGCGGCTGTTGGCGAGGATGCAAGGGGGCGAATTAAGTCACCCCCCGAAAAGACGGCCTAGCCGTTTTTTCGGGGCTCAAAAAAAAATAAGGCCCGGCCTTATTATGTGAGAAACACGGTAGAATACAGATACTAAAGAGCCATTTACCAATTGGGATGACTGCAGCTCACATCTGGTTCTGTATTTTGAAGCTTAAAGCCCTCCTAACCAACCTGAAGCACTATATCAATAATAATAATAGCAGCTAGGAAGCAGCTGCATTAATCCTGGTCTTCTGTGTTTAAATATTTGGCAAGCTTAATAGGCTCTATTGTTTGAAGGCCACCTTTCCATCTGACTGGGTGTCAACAAAACTGCCCCATATGCAGAAGAGCAGCCAAATTTGAAATTGCATGACTTTCTGGTGCCTTCTCAGGGGCCATGCTGGCTGAAGTTGACAGAAACTATCACCTTAAAACATCAGATTATAAAAGGGTGATCTAGAGTTTCATAATATCTCTAGAGCCTACTTAGGCACAATGGCATCCACTCTCGGTTATTGGTTCAGCACATCAACATAGATGGGAGTGTGGAACATAGATACTGCAGGACCTGGAAAAACTGGCTCATGTTTGCTTTGAGATGGAATATATACTTTTCTTGCAATCATTTGTTAAGGTGTAGGTGGCCAAACAGAGGCAATACTTCAATGCAGGTTAGCGTATAGAGTTGGGCATGTTTTAGTAATAAATCTACAGCATTTGCTCAGTATTTTCAAATATTCCCATTCCAACATTTGGGGTAATATTTGTGCAGGCCCTCTCTGGGGAATAGAACAAGACTGATGCTAGTGAAACTGAATGGCATACATCAATTACTTAGTCATTTTCTCTTTCTCTTTACAGTTCAAGTCTTGGTTGATGGTGCACCTGTTCGTATCCAGTTGTGGGACACTGCAGGACAGGTGAGGACCATAAAAGTAAAGTATATTTGCAGCTCTGGTTAAAATGCCATGCTAAGGATGATATCAGAAAAAATAATGAAAATAATTCAATTAAAAAAAATGACTCTGACAGTCAGTAGTAATCTACAGCATAGTTCTGGCATACTTTACATTAAAATAATATTTCAGTATTGGAGAGGAGACACACCGTGTTTCCTTCTGGTGAGTTCTTGTTTGAAATAACCTTTGAACTGGGAATTCCTGGAGTTGCGTAATATGCTAAACATGTTATGAATGCTGTCTTGCATTGCTGGAAGAAAACTGGGTTATAAATCTAACCAACAAACTGATAGAGTTTTCTTGTTTGTGTGACTTATGGCTTGCTAACTGAAAAAAAAATTTTGCAGCAAAAATTCCTTTTATGAAATATTATGTCTGGAAGCCCATGTCTTTTTAAAGGAAAGCATGAGCTCTGAAATATTATTTGGGACTAGAGTTTTGGATTTGATTATTTACATGATTGAGAAGTTATTTTAATGGGCATTAAAAGTCCCTCACTTCTTCAGTGGTCTAATTAGTGAATTAACCTATTTTTAAAACCTTCATGTATTAACTAAGCTATAGTGCTGCATTTACACGTAACATTGAGAAACTTTAATATTTTGGGAGCAATGGGCACATCTGGGATTTTGAGAGTGTTCTGAATATGCTCAGAGAATGGCTGCCACAGGGGATATTTCTGATTACAAACATCCACTTTATAGGAGGCAAAATAATGAAGTTATCCTCCACTCTTCACCTGCCATAATTCGTCGAGGATGTTTCCTAACATCATAGTTTTATCTTGCTTTTTGATGGGCACATTCCAAATAGAGCACTTTTATCTTCTAAGAATGCCTCTGTAGTTTAGAAACATTTTTGGGAATAAAAAAAACCTTAAGTATATGCGAGGATGAAGATTGTTGGCTTCCCGTGTATTCATTTATTTCAATGATCAATGTCTCAAAACATAAAATCTGGAGAACAAAAGAAACATCCACAAGACCATTGATGTCCTAGCCCAGTCAGGAACTCTGGCCATAAACTGTAATGGTAGGGTTTAACATGCTGAAACAAAAAGTGTTTTGTTTGGCTTTAGCTTAGTGTGATGTGTGAAATTTTTTTTATATTTAGTAGCTATTAATTGGCTTAATTTCCCTCTTACAAGCACTTGGGAAAACTCAAATGATTTCTAACCTTTGGATGATTTTGCTGGTTGAAAGTTAGAAAAGTTCAGCTTTGGAGCTTTGTGAAAAAGACGAGATTGTAATGCCTACTAAGTGTAATTATTACAGTAAATATCTGACACAAATTGATCTCTGTGTTTCTTTTCCCTGTATAGGAAGATTTTGATTGCCTTCGCTCTCTCTGTTACTCTGACACTGATGTCTTCCTGGTCTGCTTCAGTGTTGTAAATCCCACCTCTTTCCAAAACATTACAGAAAAATGGATTCCAGAAATAAGAACTCACAATCCCCAAACACCAGTGGTGCTAGTAGGGACACAAGCTGACCTGAGAGATGATGTCAAAGTATTAATCAGCCTGAATCGTTACCATGTAAAACCTGTGCCAAGAACACAAGCAGAAGGCCTGGCTGAAAAAATCCGGGCTCAGACTTACGTTGAGTGCTCTGCTTTGACTCAAAAGAACCTGAAGGAGGTTTTTGACACAGCCATTGTTAGTGCAGTTGAATACAAAGCCCAACAGGAAAAGAAAATGACAGCTAAAGGAATCAAAACTCTCTCTAAATGCCGATGGAAGAAATTCTTCTGCTTTGTCTGAAACTGACTCCAGTAAGAAACATTTATAAGCCAAAGTAGCTTGGAGCTCAAGCTCTTGTTGGATTATGGCAAAACTTGCCTGGGAGTCAAGAAGGAGAAGTGTAGTGTCAAATGGTCCATGCTACCTTCAAACATTTGGGACGGAATGGTCTGATGCTGATGTACTGAGTCCAGCAGCCAAGTTAATTTATGTATACATATATTTCAGGCAAGATGACCAGTTTTTACAGCTTTTGAAGGCTTGACAGCATATTAATTGAACAAATTAATTAAATCTGGGAGTAGCAGTCCCAACCTGCCTACAGGGCATGAGAGCAGAGAAGGTTGAATGAAACTTGATTTAACGCTTCAGTTATAAATTTGAGAGTTATATCTCATTTTCAAGTCATAATAATGAATAGAGGATTGATGCAGAGAATTAATGTCGAACCAAAATTTCCACTTCAACTTAAAAGTAAAAGAAAGTAAAATAAGCTTTCAAGATAGAACTGAGAATTAATCCATGTTTGAGGTGAAGAGTGGCCATGTCACATCCTTAAAACAACACAATATTTCCCAATGAAATTATGTGGGAAAATCCCAATGAAATTATGTGGGAAAATGTGATATAGTGCTATTCTAAGAATATTTGGATTTCCATGTGAAAAGCAAACCACAAACTGAAATATTGCAGAAGATATGTGGCTATATATGTGTGTATGTTTGAGTGTGAAATAATTTTCAACAAGAATGTAGTCTGGGCATCCACTGAAAAGATTGAAGCATGATTTGCTTTCATGTAAACTTTCTGTGTGAACAAATTTTCTGATTCATTTTTAAAGTCATCCTTAGAAAGTATGATTTTAGCATAATCAAAATTTAACCTGTTCAAACTAAATTCAAGATTAAAAGTCCAGCAGCTCTTTTCCCTCCCTAAATTATGCCCTGTTCCGCATATTTAGACTTTCCACGCTAGGCAAACTGATACTGTATTGTCTATTTTAATAAGATGCCACCCAGTACTGTGCCAATAATGCTATTTAGGTGGAAGGAAATTAGCAATTCTTGTTATACATTTATGTCAGAGATTGGGCCCTAAATCATATTCCTTTGTATTTCACTGCTAATACTGAAGGCTTAATGTTCCCTCCCTGAAACCTGTAGGTGAATAATCAGGTTTACCAAGTTAGCAATTAATATTTATGTTGTGTAACTATTGCAGCTAGATGAGGTTTACATCTGAGATGGAAAGATAACCACACACAAAAAGACTGAATTAAAAGCATAATCTCAAAGGGAACATATGACACAGTATTTTCCAAAATTATAAAGCAGCTTCCCTAACCTGACTGCTGTAGGTACATTGGAATAAAATGCCTATAACTCTATAGCCCAACTATAATGAATGTGTATAATGGGAGAATAGTCCAGCACATCTGAAGAGCATTAATTGAGAAAAACAATGCCCGGACATTGATAATGTTGACTCCAAAGTGCTAGAGAATTGACCAATTTGTGCTCCATTTTTGGCATATGTGCATCACAGTCACTGAAGAGGAGAGGAGTGTCCACTTCAATGGTCCAAAAAGGAAAGATTGCCACCTTTGATGGCATTCAGGTGTGGAAATGTTTGCCGTTTAAAATGATTCAAGACAAATTCTGCTTGAAAGGTTTGAGGAAAATAGAGAAAAAATATGAGAGGAAAGCAGAAAATGAAAAAGAGAAGAAGCATGTGATAGAAGAGGGAGAAGTAAGTGATAGCAAGAAGAGACAGAAAGAGATTGAGAGAGGGGGGGAGAAGGAGAGAGAAGATAGAAGGCAGGCAAAGAGAAAGCTATATAGGTAACATTGACAAGGTTAGTACATCATGGATATTGGAGTTGAAACAGGCTTATTGATCATATATGTTCTCTACAAATTATTTCCATAACTTGAAATGACATCTGAAGTTGTTTACACATTGGATCCTTTCCTAGGCATTCTATAAATGCACATAAATAGTTGAATCATATTTTAGATCCTCTCTAGTTATGAAGACAAATATCAGTCATTGCAAATCACATCCAAACCAGACACAAATGATCAAATGTGATCATCATGTCTATATCCTTTTTTTTGCCACAGGTACATACACTGGGAAGCTGAGCCATGATTATTCATCTTTGTGGTCTGCACAGAAATGTATCAATGTCCTGGAAATGTGTCATTGTGGAAACAGCCATTGAGCATTGCTCACTCCATGTGGCATACTTCAGTTTTGCTGTATAAAAAGAAAATGTTTACAAGTGGGTCTTTATGCATTTCCAATGGGCATCACAAAAGGGTCCTGGAACAGCCTTAGCTGAGGATCAGATTTCAAAAGTAGTGCCAATTTAGCAAGAATTCATAGGTACCGTTTTATTTTCCCCCCTTTTATTTCAAAATTCATTAGGGATATTTGGTTGTTGATTCGTATTGATGGTACCCAAGAATATTCTTTTACAGGAAAGAAAGAATGCTTAATCCATGCTATTATTGCCTTAGAGATTGCATATCATTCTTTTTCTGTGTCAAATATACTCTGTTTGAACATAACCATTGTTTGCATTGTATTTTCTCTTCTGCTATATAATGCAAATAAATAAATAAAAACTCAAGGAAAACAACTTCAAGTCACAGACTATTGAACTCACCATTCATTTAGATATCTGGTGTTACAGATTGCATATTTAAAATAACTTTTGATCACCATAAATATTTTTTAAAGTCATTACAACGTGACACATGGATTCTCATTAAAGTTCTAAATATTATAAGCTAAATTAAATATTACATCATTTCTGTTTATGCATACACACAAATTGTTGACAGTATTAGTATACAGAGTTCGCTCAGTAATCAGTATGTTCTCAAAAATCAACACAAAATCGTGTGTTCAGCAAAGAGCAGCTAGGACCTCTAAAACAGATTGCCCACTTGACAAGTTCTCAGGATAAGCACTTCCTGAAACCTATAAGGTTCCTAGCTTATAAACCTACACGGAATAGGCACCTGCCTAGTTGTGATGAACTAAAATCAAAACCTGAAAAAAGAAACTCCAAAAATAAGATCACACTCAAGCACAGAATTAGATGTGTTATTGTCAGTAGATGCTCTGTATAGAAGTTAGGTGGCTGATTGGAATATAGACACTTTATGATTTTGGCCTTGAACCATCGCTACAATCACTTGTAAGTATTGCAGCTATCTGAAAACAAAAACAAATGGTCAGTCCCTAGGTTGTGGCAAGCATCTACATGTTTTAGCATCCAGGCATCCTTTAGTAATCATGGAAAAACACCGCCTGTCTACCAATGTGTGATGAAATCTGGATATCATAAGCAGCTCACCATTGCGTGAAATGAAAGTCAGTGTGTGCAGTTTTTTTAAGTAACAATACAGTATCTGAATAATTACGTGAGTTGGGTTGCAAAGATATGACAACAAATGAACAAAAAATGTAGCTCAAGCTTTTATGGGGGCTGAAAAGGAGCAGGGTACTCATAGATGCTATATACACATTTTCCCCTAAAAGACAATAATTAGAAAATATCTGATCATCAAAACAGCTGATTGAAATAAATTTTAGGACATGCTACATCAAATCTGAGGTATTTGCTGCTCTGTGCCATCTTGAATTATTTTTAATTTAGTGCTTTTCAAATGTATTGGCATTAGAGCATCCAAAGTTAGCCATACCCTGACAATTTACCATTATCTAAAACAGGGGTCCCCAACCACCGGGCCCCGGACCAGTACCGGTCCGTGGATCATTTTGTACCGGGCCGCAAAGAAAGTAGTGCCTACTTTGCTTGTGCGCCGCCATCTTGTTTCGACGGCACTTGAGAAAGTGCTTCCGGGTGAGCTTGTCGGTTGTCAGTTGGAAAGTGGCGTTTGGGTGCTGAAGGAATCCTCGTGCCTTAGTTTCGTCGAAGAGGGAGGGGCGGCTTCGAACAAAGAGCCGTCCCGATGGCGGTGGAGTCTCGCGTTACTCAGGAGGAGATTAAGAAAGAGCCCAAATAGCCCATCGACCGCAAGAAGGTACAAAGGAGGAGTTGAAGGTGGCGGGGAGAAGTGGGGGACGGCTGGCTGGCCAGTCGCTCGGCTTGCCTTGCCTTGGTCGTACGTGCTGATGCCGGTACCGGTCTGTGGATCATTTTGTACCTGGCCGCAAAGAATGAATAATCATGAAACTGGTCCCTGGTACAAAAAAGGTTGGGGACCACTGATCTAAAAGATACCAACTAATCTAGAGCCCAATCCAGAGAAGTAAGCAATAGAACATTAATCTACATGGTAGAATTTCATTCATCTGATGTCCTTTGGTTACATTGTATCCTAAAACATTTACTGACAAAGTAAATGCAAGGTTTGTTTGCAAAACTAATATTTTTCTAGACCTTGATTTTGGATAGCTTCTACCCACGTGTTTGCACAACAGCACAAATGCAACACATGTATTTTAGAGGAAAAGACAATTTGTGGGTCTCTGGATTTTGTTGAATAATAACTTTCAGAAGCCACTGTCTGCCTGGCCATTAATGCAGCAGCACACAAATGATTGCACTTTTTATACTTCTTCTTTACAATGAATGTGGATCCATATTTGTGCAACTGGCAGCAGCTTTTTAATGTTTTTCTCATCACTGCCATTGAAGAAGTGACCAAGAATGCCAGGAGATCACAGAACAGGCAAAGCCAAATATTTGCTCTTTTGGATTGTGGGGCTTTTAAAAGACAAATGTTGTGTTAAGGCAGCTTCCCTTTTAAAATGGGAAGGGAGGAAATAGGGAGGCTACATTGTTTTAAGTATAAAATGGAAGGTGCTTCTGAGAAATCTCCCCCCCCCCCAAAAAAAAAAACAACCAAAAATGTTTGGCTCTGTTTATTCTACTAATGCTACTGCCCCTCATCCCAACTATTAGCTCCGTTTAGCTCTGCTCTACAGGATGTTCCAGGGGTCCTAAACCTTGCAAATACTCATAATGAGGATGTTGTGCTTGGAATTTTTTCTTAGCACTACAAGTGATAGACAATCTGTGAAGGACACCTGTTTCATTCAGAGCCAAACAACAACAGCAACAATAGTAATATTCAACATTTCAAGAGTTAGCATGATTAAGCAATATTACCTGGACCTGCACCAAAGCAATTTGGAGGCATTTAGTCAGTACTTATAAAGTACACCCATTTACAAACTATCAATCTTGCTGGGAAGTGTAATTATATAGTCCTATAGTTGATGAAAATTTGTCAGATCATCCTGCTATTTCTTTTAAGAGTAAGCAATATCATGAAAAGCATAGAAAAAGTGAAGACATCAACAGCAGAAGATAAGAGAAAGGATATTAAATCCAATTTAAAGGATATTAAATCCAATTTAAACTTAAACTTAATCTAATTCACTATATCTCTGCCTGCCTTTCTATCTTCACAAGCAATCCTTGTTTCCATGTTAGGATATAGATTCATCCATTGCCTTTTGGTTTTAAAATTCTCTTTTACCTCTTGGAAAATAAATTCCAGCCATTCAGAATCTTCTTCTCTCAACCCATCTACTCTTAATTTATACTGTATTTGTTTTGCAAATCAGGTCTCTTTCATTCTCTTTGTAAGCTATATAGGATTTTTTAGTTCAGTTCGCATTCATACTTTACTCATAATTCATTCTTTTCTTATTTGTCCCTGCTACAATCAACTAACCTTTTTTATATATATTCCCCATCAGTTCCACGTAACTAAGTGAGCAAAAGTCTTCTGTTATACACAACTATTTCCTCTTCCTTCAGTGAACATTCATTTCTGGTAGTAGTGTCAATTACTTTTGTACCATCATATCTTAACATTTCTCTATCCTTTTCTCCCCCTTTAATAAACATTCTATTAAGGCACATCTTCATCTTCAGTGTATTATATTGGTATTCATATCTATGCTCTTTGTTGCATAATAAAATCTATCTTCAGTGGAAGAGAATATCTACAGCTCAGGATTCAATTGTGCTTTTGCACTGACGATGTTACCTACTTGGGTAATGTAAGCAAACAACCAAGATCAGAAAGCACCAACAGCTCCACAAAATCTATCTTAATTTCACTGCAAATCTCATTCCAATAAAAGGGCAAAATCTCTTAACTATCTTTATTACAGACCTAATTTTACACAGCACATTTCAAATGCTTGACATGTACCCATCACCCTAAATAAGGGGTGAAACACAAGCCTAATTTTACTGATTGGTTTCAAAAGCCTTATATAAGGGATAATTTCAGACTTCTTTACTAGTGTTGGAATTTAAACGCATCCTGGAAAAACTTCTGAGTTTGACTAATACTTTTTTTGAAAACTTTATGTCCCAGGGGGGTTAACTTACAATTCTCTTTTCCTCTTTCTTTTTTTTTTTTTTTTTAAGTTTTATTGAAAATTAGGTTTTAAAAACATTGAAATGGTGATCTTTTTGACATATATCTCAGTCTTTACAAAATATCATCAAACACTATAAACATTTATATACATATATACAGCTATATATATATATATTTACATTATAATCTTTGTATCAATTTCTATCTTAAACATTATGTTGCAATATAATCTCTTCTTAAATTCTATTTCACATTCTTAGACTTCCTTTCATATCCCTCCATTTATAAAAAATTTCCCATATTGCATAGAATTCTGAAGTATCTCGCTCCTTCAGTTCTAACGTCATACTATCTAACTCAGTGCACTTAAAGTTTTTTTCTATTATTGCTTCTATTATTGCTTTTTTTTCTATTATTGTATTCCTTTTAACTTCCATGTTTGGGCTATTGATAATCTTGCAGCTGTAATAACATGAATGATTATCTGCTTTTTTTAAATTCTCATTTAT